GATTCGTAATTTCATCGTTATGGCCGTCTGAACAGTTTTTGGCGATTTTGAGGAACTTATTTTTTTAGAAATTCAAATTGAGTTTTTTACAGTGTTCTCTCAGGCTTTTACTTGCAGGTGGACATGATGGCCATGAAGGAGAAGTTCTCCTATTATGAAGACGACGACGTGCAGGTGCTCGGGATGCCGTACGTTGGTGGTCAAACACAGATGCACATCATTCTCCCGCAACGACGCTTCGGCCTAGCTGATTTCGAGCAAAACCTTACTGGAAAGAAGTTGTTGTCCTACGTTCAGCGGTCCTGCGTTACTGAAGTTGAGGTAATTCGCGTTCTGGAACTTTTTTTCCCTGTTTGTTGAAGATAAATCTCAAGATCGGATGAGTGAACATTTTTCAAAACCCAGGCTCAAACGCATTAGGCTCTTCGGTGCGGTCATGCGTTTTTGCAATAAACTCGCAGATTAGCAAGAATGACCCCTACGCTGTAGCCTAACACTTGGGCTCATATTGGCCGTGCTTTAGCCCCTTCCAGCATGCAGGAGGAAGGGCGTCAGTTGGGATGAAGGTGGTGCACTATAGAGCCGCACGGACATCCAGATGCATGATTATCGGTTTTTTTGCATGAAGTCCGGTCGTTTTTTCGGTAAATGCTCGCTTTGTGGAAAAATGACAAATGCAAATTTTTTGGAAAAATTCAAATTTCCAGTTCCCTAAAAAGTGGAAGTATTGCTGGAGCGGTCGTTTGTAAAAAAATCCACGTTCATTTACATATACGATTGCGGCTATGGTCCGAGCTGCGAACGATTTTTTTGAAAATATGCAAATTTTCAGTTCATTAAAATTTGAAATTATTGCTCGAACGGTCGTTTTTCAAAAAATCCATGTTCATTTGCACGTACAATTGGGGTTCAAGTCCGAGTCGTTAACGATTTTTGGGTTTAGGAGCTGCTTGACTCCGGTTGGGGAGCTGGAGGGCTGAGTCTAAAATTTTTAGCTCGCACGCGCATAGAGAATATCCCTGCAAAGTTTCAGCTTTTTACGATGCCTGGTTCGCGAAATCGTTTCCCGCTGACATATTTCTTTGGGGGTCCCGTACGCGGGGTCTAGGCGCGTATGGGGAAAGATCTCAAACCGGAGGATGATACACGGGGTAGGAACATATATCCAAAGTTTCAGTCTTCCAGCTTTCCTGGTTGCTAAGATGAAGTGGGTGACAAAATGCACTCGCTTTCCGGACACACACGCACAGACAGCCTCACGACAATATGCGTTTTTGCTGGCTGTAGCAGCGCTATAGCTTATTCAAAATTGCTGGGGTTTTTTTGGTGCTCAACCACTGTTGGGACCTCTGCGCCTTCCGAAATCGAATTATTCATTATTTTGATTCGAAAAAAAAGGGAATTTTTTTCTTCAAAATTTGAAAAGCAGCGTTGTAGCGCACAGCAAAAACGCATAAACAGTGTACGAACTTGATGAATGGCAGGCCTTTTGAATCTGCGGACTTGATGAATGACTAACTTTCAGAATCAGTGAATTCGGCGAGTGACAAAGCTGTAATGGATCCGTCAAAGGATGGAATTATTTCAGGTCGAATTGCCAAGATTCAAGTTGGAGAACAGGCTTGAACTGGTGAAAGCGTTGCAAAAGCTGGGCATGAAAGAGGCATTTACGGATTTCGCCACTTTCGATGGCATCAGTGAACAGCCGTTGAAAATCTCGGATGTCATCCAGAAGGCA